GCGTGGGGTATTTCTGCTTCGATTAATGGGACGGTGGGCGAGCGGTGGGGGGAAGGCCTTGCGGTGCTCCCTACGATTAAACCTGCATGGCTGAAGAGCCTGCACTAGACCCTTGCAGGAGGGTGGACAACATTGCATGCATGTCACTGGAGCGGCATCGCGTATTTTTGGCTGTAGAGAGCAGCCCGACTCATTCCCACACTATCCCTTCTGCCCTGTATTCCTGGCCTTGCCTCCCTCACCTCATTTAACACTCGGCCTTGCCGCCGACAACGAATACAACTGCGCATCGTGTGCACTCTCCCCACAGTGCCGGCATGCAACTGGGTGTGCCCGCTTTTCACACCAATCATAAGCTCAAGGCGACGCTGGTCCACGGAATCGTTGCGAACCTTGTTGGGCAAATTGCCGATGTAGCAGCTGCCGTGCACGCCACTGGCAACTAAGCGTGCGGCCAGACTGTTGCCCCTCAGGTGCGGTCGATCATCGTCACCATCATCATCCGCAGCAGAAGCATCAATATAACCGTCATCATCAGCGACGTCATAGCAGACTCATCCTCATAATCATCATCATATGCAGCAGCAGCAGCATCATTAGCATCAGCAGCAGCAGCAGCATCCCCCTCCCCATCCTCCTTCGGCAAGCGCCTCGGCGGCTCTATCACCGACGCCCGCAAACCGCGCACCCTGGGCTTCATGCCACAGGGTAGCACAAGGTAGGGCCCCGCGACGGCCCAGAAGTTCACCGCGACGAGCCAGCTACGCCGCCGCGCCGGCGCGCAGCTCGGCTGCCAGCCCGCGCTCTCCACCCCCAGGGCGGTGCGCAGCTGACGCCCCGTAGCCCAGTGCAGGGCCGCGCTGGGCTCGGCGCCCCACCGCGCGGCGAGGGCGCTGGCGACCGCCTCGGCCTCGGGGCCGTCTCCCAGCAGCTGCGTGCATTTGGGGGGCCAGCCACCGCAGGCTTTTCAGCGCGGCTGGCCCGAGGCGCCCCATCGTCTCCAGAGCCGGCTGCGGCCGCGCTTGTTTGCCTCGCCCTCCTGGGCCACCGCGCCGTCGGCGCTCGCCGCCGCCAGGGCGCGCTGCTTGCCGTGCACGTTGTAACGAATAGTCACGTCCGCCAGCAGGGGCGGGCAGCCCGCGCGCTGGGCGTCGAGGTCCAGCAGAGCCTCCTCGCGGCGCGTCTCGAGCGCGGCCCCACACGCCCTGCACGGCCCTTGCGGCGAGGCGGCCGCGCGCCGCGCAGCCAAGTGCTCGGCATGCCCAGCGCCAGCGGTCCCGGGCAGAGATCTGCAGCTGGCACACCGTGTGGAAGCCGCACTCGACATGAATGCGCTCCCAGACTTTCCCGACGTCGCGGCTGCGCGGGTTTTTCGCACCCCCGCCGCAGGCGCACCAGTAGGCGCGGTGCGCCTTACAGCAGAGGGGGTGGCCGCAAGGCTGTCCAGCGCGCATGTCCGCTCGTAGGCAGCAGATTCCAGCAGCGGCCGTTCAGCGGCGCGAGGTCCTGCCCCAGCAGCTTCCGCGCCGTGCTGAGGTCGGCGTCGTCCTCTAGTCGCTGCCAGGGTCGCCATGCGCCAGCTGCCAGCCAGCCGAGTGGGCGGCGCCGCAGGAGCGGAGTCGCGCCCAGTCCTCGGAGCACAGAGTATTCAGCGAGGCGTGGTAGTTCATTTCGTCAAGCCTACGCCCGAACAGTTTCTGGGATTTCTCCCGCAGCGCCCGTGCGAGCTCCCGCCAGGGCGGCAGCGGCGCGGAGCCCGCCTCGTCGTCGGCGGGGCCTGGACCCTTCAGCGCGGCCTGTGCATCCCAGCAGGCCGCGGCCCGCGCTAGGGCAGAGGTGTCCAGGTCGACCCGGTCGGGCAGGCCGCTCCTCTCACGTGTGCCAACCAAGCTCTGCGCTCAGAAGCCCGCCCAAGGCGCTGGAGCCAGCTCCTCCTGGCTTCGGGCTTCGGAAGCCGCGCCCACCGAGTCGCAACGGCAGCCGGCAGTGGGCGCTCTGCGACGCCGCCGAGGGGTCCAGGCGCGCCAGTTCTTGGTAGGCCTCCAGGGCGGCCGCGTCGTAGGCGGCGGCGGCCCACGTGCTCCGCCTCCTCCTCCTCCTCCTCCTCCTCCTCCTCCTCCTCCTTTTCCTCCTCCTCCTCCTCCTCCTCCTCCTCCTTTTCTTCCTCCTCCTCCTCCTCCTCCTCCTCCTCCTCCTCCTCCTCCTCCATTCCTGTTCCTGCTGATTAACTCCTCCCTGTGGTCCCCCGAGGCCGATTGAAAGGGCGGCCCGGGCGCTTCGCCTGAGACTTCCTCACCATCTATGACCCTGAACCTTAAAAACTGACAACGGCCTCACGGATTGAGGGCGGGTGGTCTTCAAAATGTGATTATCGCCTGGGCGCCGCGCACATTCGTTTTAAAAATTGCAAGAAATTCACGGATTGAGGGCGGGGCGTGTTCAAAATATGGTTGTCGCCTTAGCGCCGCTCACACTCGTCTTGCAGAAAGTGTGAGAGATTCACCGATTGAGGGCGGGTCGTTTTGCAAATATGGTTGTCGGCTCAGCGCCGTGCACACTCGTTTTAAAGGTGTGCAAGAGTTTCACTTATTAACGGCAGGCCGTTTTCAACATGTCATTCTCGCTTGAGCGCCGCGCACACTCGTTTTAAAGATGTGCACGAGCTTCACGGATTGAGGGCGGTTCCTTTCAAAATGAGGTTGCTACCATAGCGCCGCGCATATTGGTTTTAAAGCATTGCAGGAGTTTGTTGTTGTTCACGGTGTTGAAGTCCTAGGAACGGTGTCTTGGCACGATTCAGGATCGTCAAGACGCAACAGTCAGGTTGATTATTGGCGTTTGAGCCCCGAGAATGGTGTTCTGGCACGCTTCAGGATCTTCAAACAATTGCCTCCCAACGGGGCAATTTTCTCAATCGGAATGAATACTTGTATGGGGCCCATGAAGAGGGAGCTTGGAGAGAGGGTTTATTCCAACATCATTGATGAGTTCTGGGTTTACACTGGCCCTCCTCCGCCTCCTCCTCCTTCTCTTCCTCCTCCCCAGACCCTCCTCCTCCTCCTCCTCTAGCCGCGCTCATGAGCTTGAAAAGCCGAGGAGAACAATAGCCCGAGAATTCACATGCAAAATGGCCCTTGCTCCCTAGAGCCCGACGACTACCCGAAAGCAGCCGTTTGTGGCCTCAACGACTCCGGCCAGTGTGATGATCTCCTGGCGCTGATCGGAGGCCTGACACGAGGCACGAGGCGCATCTGCTGCGAACCTTGCTGCTGCAGGCGTCCGTCGATGGTGGTTCGATTGCCTCTGCAGCCATCGGCGGGGTGGAGCGCCGTCGAGTCAGGGCAGCGCCTGCCGCTCACCTGGCGGCGGTGCGCCTGCAGCTGATGGTCGAACTTCGCGCGGGCAGGCTCTTAGGCTGGGAGCTGGAGTCGCGCCGTTGCCGTCCTCCCGGAGGGCCGGCAGCTGTGCGCCGCACCGCCCGCAGAGACCGTCGCGGCCGCTGGCGGCCTGCGCCGCCACCGCGTGCGCGGCATGTAGCCCCCCTTCGGCGTACCGCGGCGGGCCAGATGCCGCGCAGAGCCGCCGCTGATGAGCGACAGCGCCGGGCTCTCACGCGTGCTGGGAAGGGGAGCATGAAGAGGAGGAGGAGGAGGAGGAAGAGAAGGAGGGATCAGGAGGCGCCGGAGAAGCAGAAGCAGGCGAGGCAGTAACAGGAGAGGGAGAGGCAGAGGAAGACGAGGCACGTGATGAGCAGGAAGAGGAGCACGACGAGCAGGAAGCAGGAGGATGGGCAAGAGGCACCAGGATCTTCTGTTTCAAGAGGTTGGGCCTACGGACTAGCAAAAAACATCAGACATAATGTTATCCACCTCCAGGATAGATTCTGACACGGGCGTTGGCCCCGCTGGGCTGGCGAACTTGCAAGGGGAATGATTGGACGAGGGGAAGGGGGGAGGGAGGAGGACAAGGAGAAGGAGGAAGAGAGGGACGACTGGCGCTGCAGCGCTGGCCCCAGGCGGCCCACGTCGCGTTGGCGCACCTGGACGAGTGGCTGGCGACGCCGCGCCTCCTTCGCCTTTTTTGTCCATTATGTTTATTCGCATTTTTATTCGTAACATTAGCTTCCGCTGTTTCGAATGACTATATACATGTATGTTTAGTATGATTATGATTGTTTGATCTTATGATTGTTTTGTTTTATCGTTGCTAGTCGTAGTGCTGGTAAATTTGTAGTCGTATGACTACGAGTATTAGTATGATTGTTATTAGTATGTTTGCCTCGTCGTCTTCTGGCGGCTTGACGACGGCCACGCCTCCCTTTCTCCCCTCCTCCCCGCAAGCGACGTAGGGAGCAGGAGGAAAACGGAGCAGGGTAGGGAAGGATGGTCCTGGTCCCTTGCTTTTCCTCCCCCATTGCGCCCAACTCTATCCACATACCCCACTTCGGCCGTCTTTCGCCCACACACACACACACACACACTTAGTCGGCGGCGAGGCAGAGCTTGCTGCACTGGCGCTAGAGCTAAAACACACACACGCACGCACGCACACACACACACACACACACACACACACACACACACACGCGCGCGCACACGGACTTCACCCCCTAACCCCCGAACAACCCAGCCCCGTGACCCCAGGACATCAGAAGCCCCTCTAGGGGGTGAAAACCCCAAAACCCCAGAACCTCCGAAACCCTTCAAGGAGGGTGAAACCCCCCAACCCCCCAACCCCAGGACATCAGAAACCGCTGAGGAGAGTGCAACCCCTCGACCCCCGACCACCCAGCCCGGGGACCTCAGAAGTCACTCCCAGGGGTGAACCCCCCCACCCCTGACCCCTCAACCCTGGGACATCAGAAACCCCATCCAGGGAGGCGAAACCCCAAGACCCCGTGACCTTCAGAAACCTTCCAAGGAGGGCGAGCCCCCCGAGGGGCGCGCCCGACCCCCGCCGAGGCGAGCCTCGCGGGCAGAACCGCCATGGCGGCGGCCGAGGCGCGGCCCGGCGCAGCTCGGCCCGCGTCGCCCGAGCTTCTCCGGGCCGCCCCAGCGGCGGGGCCCGAGCAGGTCGATCGAGGAGCGAGGATCGCTCGAGGAGGGTCGAGGATCGAGGAGGAGGATCGAGCGAGGAGGATCGATCGAGGAGGGTCCAGGAGGGCCGAGGATCGATCGAGGAGGATCGCGCCGTATCGCAGCTGCCCTGATACGCCCGTGCTGGAACACAGCACGCACCGTGTTCGAAGCGTCCGCGTTGACACGTTGCGTGTTGGCTCAGCACGGGTTGGTCCACGTTTCGGCGAAGCTGTCGCGCCAGACCTACGTTCTCGGTCTGCGCGTTGAGCTCCGTGTCAACACACTGAGTGATGCGTGTTGCGTATCGGGACAGTTGAGTGCCGCACGCTTCGGTGCATCGGCCATGCGGCTCGGTTCGGAGGCCATTTTTCATCCTGGCTTTCATCGCGCCGGTGTCGCGGATGCAGGAGCCCTCCCGCACGGAGCGAGCGCCCGCAATGTAGAAAATCGCCGGTGCATCGGCGATGCAGAGCGGCTCTCCGAAAGCATCTCCTCGGACCCCATGACGGAGGCCTGCAACCTCGCTCTGTGCAGGATCGAGGTTTGAAGGTTTAGGTGTTGTGCATTTTGGTCTGTCCTGGGGCCTCCCTGGAAGTTCTGGTTTCTGCGCACCGCAGGAGGTCCAGGGGTCGACTTCCGACCCCCGACCCCAGACTTCCGGCGGGCGGGTAAGCAACCATGCCGTGCATCTGGATGGACGCGTGGGCGGGCTGGCAATGACACATGTTCGTGGCTCTTGCTGGGAATCGCTGTGATTGAGCACTCGCGATCTGAGTGCTTGATAACCAGTTCACACCACTCTGCTTATTGAAGTCGCCCCTTGCTGTCGAGGGCGACCTCGTCGTCGCCTGGTGGCCTAGCTTCGCAGGTCACCGTCTGGATTGCGCCGTGCGCATTTCTTCAATGGGTTGGCTTTGTTCCTCGAAATGTTTTCATACAGCGCGAGTTGCGTAAAGGCTAAGATAGCAGAAAGTGGTCGCGACGATGTTCAGCACGGGATCTCATGAATGTTCAGTCTAGTGACGTACGAACAAGTTATGCCCAGCAAGCGCCTGAGGTTTGGGGAATGGCAAGCTTCCAACTGGGCCCGCTCAGCACGGAGGGTCCATAAAAAGTCCAGGGAGCACATCAAGTAGCTGATGATGATGATGATGATGATGATGATGATGATGATGATGATGATGATGATGATGATGATGATGATGAGTGGGGTAGCCGTAACGAGGACTTTCCCCACTTAAGTAAGCTATACCCGAAAGGTACTTGATGAAGGTTCCATCTGCAGATTTTTGACCCCCAGCTCGCAAGCCGCAGTCATCATCTCAGATCGTTTAGAAGTGCTTGGCGACGTCTCCAGCGTGATCCAGCCAGACTTCGCCGAACCTGTGGGGACGGACGTCCAAACATTAGCGAGAATACCCCGCCTCCTCGCAGTGTTGGTACGTAGCACACGATGTTCAGCACAATATGACAAAAAGGTGTCTGAAACTCGGCCACGGTGCCCCGCAATGTGCGCAGGGTCTCCCCGTTTGCCGCCCTGTCTCCATGGAAACTGCACCAGCCAGGAAAATGCCTAAGAGCTTCCTGTCCGCCACGGAGAGACTCTCAAGATAGAGCTTGTACGATCTGCCCGAGATCGCCTCGACGTCGACCTCCTCGATCGACTCTGAATCCCATCGCGTTGTGTACACCTGCTGCATAAAACGTACTCGGCACACCGCTCTGAGTATATGTTGGGACACGTTTGGCGTAGCGTTCTTCTCCTGGCCGATGTGTCCAGAAACGGCCTTGCGCATCTGTCAACCCGTGGACCAATCGAAGAACTCTGTGATCGTCATCTTCCCGCACTTCGAGAAGACAACCCTGACCAGCTGAAAAAACGTATGAACTTGAGCCCGATGCTGCTGATGTGGTTCACCATGGCCATGTCCACGAACTGTGACCACACCAATCGGACGTGCGTGACTGTCTTTACGGCCGGAAGGGCGGCCGAGGATATTGGATGGTAATGAGTTCTCGTGCACCACCAGCGTCCGTGGCACCACCACTTGGTGCTTGTGCGCTGGATGGCGACTCGTAGCTTCTTTGCCATGCCGGCAGGGCGAACTGTGAGCAGCGGTTAGCAGATCCACAATGGGCGGATGTACGAGACCGCAAGTCGTTCACGGACTTCTGATGTTCTTGGAATAGAGCCAAGTGTACGTATTGCTGTGTAGATAGTTTCCCATCCACCTCGCAGGCCGATAGGGTAGTCTGGATCCGCTGGTCGAGCCACAGTCCCCAAGTGCTCAATCGGTTTGGGGGGATCGTCGTCCGTCTTCCATATCTGTCGTTTGCTGTGGTTCTCAACGAACCCGACCTCGTGGTCAAAAAGAGCTGTGTATTGAAGATCGTCCTGCAGCAAGTCACCGTTCGCCGCCGTGAGGGAGCGGTCGTCCATATAAGCTTGGCCACTGACTGGCTGCCAGGGTGCGAAGCTGAGGACCATCGCTGCGGGCGCGACGCTGTCGCATTGGGGCAGTCCGCGCTGCGGTCTGATGAGAGACGCGACTGCGCCTGACACACTGCAATGTCTGGGGCCTTTCCAAGCCGCCACTGAAGTGAAAGTAATTGAGTCTGGAGCGTCGGCTGCCTGCAACGCTGCTTCTCCGATCTGATGGTCGATGTTGTCATATGTTTTGGTAAGGTCGAGCTCAGCTCCCGCGTCCGTCTGGCTTGCTTGATCGAGCCAGGCCGAGATCGCATGGACACGTGGTACGCCACGTTTTCCTGCAAACTGGTTGTCAGGACCGTCTGGGGGTCCTGAAGCTAGCGCCGTCAACCAGCAACGTAACAAGGTGCTTCCAACACTGATAGGTCGTACATCGCATTCGCCATTCGGGATTTCAACCACCCCCCAGTGAAGAAAAACAGATCCAGCATGTCCAGATCCAACTGCCCACGCCGTTGTACGCACCACTTGCTTGTCGTCACCCCAAAGATCATAGAGTTCTCTGATGAAGGTGGGGGGAGGGGATACGTTTGATCATCTTGAGCTCCTTGGCGCTCCAGCCGTCGAAGCCAGGGCTGCCGTGGGAGCTGTCGATGGCCATCTCGAAAACCTCCAGGGATGGGTACCAGTCCTTCGGTGTCCTGCTCTCTGGGAATACAACATTTGAGACCACGCTTTCCATTCACGTTGGTGATCATCAGCTGGGTGATCCTGCGGGCACCACTGCTGCTCCCACGTCGCGCGCATACCCTCGGCCTCCATCGAAGCCGTCGGTGATGCACGTCTGAAAAGAGGAGTGGCGAGCCTATACAAGTCTTGCGACCATGATGCAAAGCGAGAGCGCCACTTCGTTGACTTTCGCTTCTGGATCTTCTGATTCTCACGAGTGACGCCTGCTGATTTCACCTCGAGCGCGTCGAAGTAAGTTGGGATACCCGCTGCTTTCATGTGGAGCACCTCATCCCAGGCAGCTTGTGCGAACTGTCTGTGGTGGTGCGGGAGTAGCATTTCATCGGGAAGTCCATCTCCATCTGGTCCAATGTGGGCCAAGAACCGACGATGTAGACGAAGTAGTCTGCGTAGGGCGATAGTCTGATCCTCCCTCCACGCGCCTATGGTTGCCACAGGTCCCACCGAGGGGGGAGAAAGTCTTGTTTATTGTGGGCTATCTGTCGATGATGACGTAGTCGTCCTCCACCAACAGCTGCAATGCCTGATCAGCTCTCTCATGCCAATATTTCCAGAGATGTTCCATCGTGAGGTCGTGCAAATCAGGAGAGTTAAGTGGAGGTATCTTACTGTTGCGTAGATCCTCGACTAGTTTCTTCTCCTGATCGTTGGGCACCTTCTCCAATACATATAAGGCAGTGTGGTGAAGACGTTGGCGTGCTTTCTTGTGTGTCGGTATATCCAGCCGGTATCGAACCAGACCGTGATGTGGTATGACAGGGGCGAATGTCATCCCCTCGCAGTGTGGTGGCGTAATTCCCAATGAACCAAAAAGGAAACATCACGTTGGAATCGCAGCTTGTGTGGATGTCGGGACAAGGCCAACCGCCTCTGCCCATCCAGGTCCAAGATATGTCGGCATGCCTCTCTCCAGTTGAGATCGCCCACTACAACCGTCGGATGTCCATCGATCGAGTGCGAGCTCACAAAATTATCCTAACGAGAGATCCAGTTGATATCATACGTCATGGGGCCATAGACCGTTACGTAGGTGCACTGTTGCGCACGTAGTCCAATCAGCCGATGTCCCAGGGTTCGATCTCTGATGACAGACCTTCCCAAGCTTCTGGCGCCAAAGTATCGCCGTGCCTCCGTGTCCGACGGCACACGCGTTGGAACCAGGCGGTGGGATAGAGCATGCACAGCCCCATTCTCCTTCCCTGGCATGGTCAAGGATCCACTTGGGTCGCTCGGACTGCTGACGGATCTCCTGCAACATGATAGCATCATCATCAGGACCTGCGAGATCCATGATATGTTTGAGTCTGGCTTTGGAGAAATTGGTGACGATGACAGATAAAATGTTACGGCTTGCCTCGATGGGCTCGTCTTCGCTGTCGTCTCCTCCTACTGCTAGGAGGTCGTTATTGTTTTGACCGTGCGTTATGATCAAGAATTTCTTTATCCAGCAATGCCTGCCCCCCCCTCAAACACGCAAGGTTTGCAAAGGGGAGTACCTCCACCCCAAGCAACCTAGCGAGAGGAAAAGGTGGCCGCGGCGACGTCCTGTTGCCCTCCAGCGGGCGCGAAATTGGAGTACGTGTTTGAAAAATCTGAGCACCTCCACCCACCATGCGGTAGCGTAGGTCCCTCAGCACCTTGATGTGGCCGTGCTCGTACTGGTACATGCGAAGGGTAGGCTAGTCAAGATGAGACCGCCGCAGGCCGCCTTCTCAACCGATACCTCTCCCTCTCCCTCTGA